TAACACACCCCTGGTTTTTATTTATTTTCAAGATGAGGTGATGTGAAGTAACCCCTATTTTTTTGAGTAACATATATACATGCAGACCTTGGGTTCTGGGGGGTCGAAAAGGGGTACCCCAAAAAATGGTTTTTCAGAAATATCTCCATAACCACATTAGATAGCCAAATTCTGATTGCAGAATCTGAATCTACATGAAAAATTACATAAATACAAATCTCCATATGACATATATCCAGTGAGTTATCAAGGAAAAGAGGATTTCAAAAAGGGGCAGGGCACGTCTCGAAGTGCGTCGAGGCCAAAAATACAGATGGCTGCCATTTTTTAACGAGCGGGAGTTGGGACAAAAAAATTGGGGGATTTTGTTCTCATGCCAATACCAACAATTGGTGAAAAAATCAGCAAAATCTGAGAAGTGATGGTGGAAAATTTCTCTTCCACTGGTTGATTTGAGATGGAATTACTCAAATGGCTTTATTAGCCATCTGGGACTTTTGTGCAGTACAATTCAGGTGGGTCAAAAGACATTAAAACTCTGATGGTAATAAATGCAAAGCAAGCAGGTTGTCAGAGGATCAGAATGACATCAAGTGTCTTAAGCCACAGGTCAGGAATACTCCCCGGGTAGCATACTCGCCTATCGCGGGGAACACACTCACAAAAAATACTATAAGCAAAATACAGATGCTGCTTAACTGCATTGAATGTTTTCCTCATACCAGAATTTTTTAAGCATTTTTCTCAGTTGGTCCCAATATTAATATTTCGAATATCAACTGATATCAAAACCAATCCGATATTTTTTCCCCTTTATCAACTACTAAGCATTAAATGCAATTTTTGTATCAATACATTTTAGTTAATATGGCAAACTGTCCACATTTAGTGTTATAGCAGCCTTGTTTGAGTATGTTAAGAATGATATAAATTATAATGGTCATGATGCTCAAACAAAGGCTATGCCAAACAAAAACTAATACAAAATATACCGTGGAGCACAGATAAAAGTCAGAAAAATCAGCATTAGCCTCACATACACTGCAAGCTGCAGTTTGGCTTTTATCTTTCTTTAGCATAAAGTACAGTGACTGCATCTCCACACAGCTGACATGACAGTTCTGACACGAGTTTGTTGTAGTGATGACCAATTCGTGAATGAATCTTTCTTTTGAATTGGAACTTTTCAGTGAATTGGTCAAACCAGTTTTCAGCTCTAAAAGAATCAACCTTTCTGTAGATCCAAGCATTGTACAGCAGCACGTCTCAGATTCTAAAAATCTAAAAAATATCTGACAAATTATCTTATAAAAACACACAGAAACCTCTGACCCCTGTCACTCTGTGTGACTCCCCAGTCAGCACCGTGGAGTCATTACGCTCATCTCCAAACATCGTCAGTGGGAGATGAACAATAGTTCCCTCAGCAAGACAAAGCCCAGCAGAGGATGTACTTCCTGCAGCTGCTGAAGAAGGTAAATCTGCCGAAGACAGTGATGGTGCACTTTTCTCTCGGCCACCATCGAGTCCACCCTCACCTCCTCCATCGCTTTTCAATTTGCTGCTGATCATGCAGTGCAAGATGCAGCATATCATTTGGTGATTGGCTACAGACGGTCATTACGGCAGGACCTGCACTCCTCCTGGACCATGAAGCGAGCATTTCAGTTCAAGTTGTTTTTATATAGTGCCTTTCACAACAGAGCAACCCCAAGGCACTTTACATGGGTGCGTTGTGATACATGACATCATCATTAAAACAGAATAAAACAAAAACAGGGAAAAGGGAGGAGAAAGAAAGAAAGAACAAAAGAAAGATGACAATGGAGAAGAGGAACCAAAAACTCTCAAGTAGGAAGGAAAAAACCTCTGGGGGTCCAAGGTCAACTGGCTGCCCAACCCCCCCCCCCCCCCCCCCCCCCCCCCCACCCGCATGCTAACATTGTTGGAAAACAAAAAGTGGGCTTGCTTGCTGAAAACAAGGTGTGAACTGTGGTCAAGGTCAAAGCCAAATGCATCAGTGAGTCAGTTCTCCAAGCAAAACGCAGTTATAAATGAGAATTTCATCAACTAGGAGAGATTGATTTGTTGTGAATTAGTTTGCAATGTAACCAATCAGAAGTTTGGTTTTGTTTAAAGCCGCCCACTGAGTTTAATGGGTGACTGACAGAATATTTTAATGGCTGAGCTTGGGTGATTTAAATGTTCATTTAAATAGAAATTTAATAATAATAGAAATAATCAAATTATAATTTAAAAAACAATTTATATTACCCTTATTTATTGAAAATTGCCACAAAAACTCAGTTTAATGGTCATAGTGTATAATAAAATTATCATTTACATATTCATGATATAAAAAATATAATTTTTCATCATCTTTGTTGTGCCTGTGTGCTGGACCAATTCTTAATGCATATTTTTACTCGCAGCATATATAATCAGCCATTTAAATCTTCATTTTGAGTTTTATTTTTTCGCAGACATTAAGACTACAGTAGTTCCGATAGAAACACCTGTTATGCTGAATCGACTAATCAGAGAGCGCGATCCAGCGCGATTACATTTAACTTTATTTACGTTCGAAATTCACTTACTTCTTGTGAATCAATTTCACGCAGAAGCAAAGCACATGGTGCATCACAAAATATACTTTTGCTCAGTAATGTGCACAGTGTGACAAACAGATGCTTTTGGGTTGAGCTGTATGTAGTTAATTTGCTCATAGACATGTGTGCGTTCAGTGCTGTCCTTTTCCCTTTTCTCATTGACTTTAATTCTGCATCTGCAGTGTCCTGGTCCTGCACATGAAGAGATTCAGCTTCACACCACAGTTTCAGCTGGTCAAAGTGCAGGACCCAGTTCTCCTCCGCAGGGAGATCTCCCTGCTCCCCCACTTCAGGGAGATCTCCCAGCTGACAGGGACACCTGAGGCAGCACAGCTCCCAGAAGCTCACCGGACGGAGAGCCAGACCACACAGGAGGCACAAATGTAGGTCATCTGCATGGAAATGTACAGCAAATGCCAAAATAAGAGCAGACGCATACTCATACACATTGTAAATCCTTTTGAAAATGGGAATCGCTTTAAATAGACAAAGGTTACTTATGCAAATGCATGAACAATAGTCTGATTGTATGTATCCCCTGCAGGCCAGCTGAAGAACAACCAGGGGATGCCTCAAGGATGCTAGGTGGAGATGCAGAAGAAGACGATGCTTTGGAGGAGGAGAGTGACACCGTCTGCGAGAACCTGCCTACAGCAGACTCACTGCCCCCTGCAGGTACACTGGCCTCAAACACACAATGGGCATTGGTGAACACGTTCACAGGAAGGTGGGAAAGTGCCTTAGGGTGTACTTCCAGTATACATAATCATAATATACTGTACTATTCAGCAAACTATATAGAGGAATTCTACAGTTCAAAGAATTTCAGAGTGGTAGTGGTGAAATCAGTAAGAGTAGATCATCTCCCCACAAAACCTGGTGCCAAGGTAGTGGGACATTCCGGGACAGACCCCTGTCACTGGGCAAAAGAAAGTTACCCACCAAACTGTTATTTTGGTTAGACCACTTATTTTATCTGTGTCTCCAGTAGAAATGTCATTTCACCTCCCATCTCATTGTGTTTGGTTTCTCCTGTGATTCCTGCTTCTCTTAAGCAGCTGGACCAGAGACAGAGCAGGAAACACCTGCACTGCTGAGGGTAGGGAGAGTTAGAGGAAGACACGTGAGTGAGAGGAAAAGAGAGTGAGCTTAGGACATTAGTAAAGTTTAGCAAGAACAGAGAGTAAGAGAGACTGGAGGAACGCAGAGTGGTGGAGCTGCCTTAGAGGTAGATGAAGTTCATGGTGAGTTTTCCCTTCAGGCGGAGACGGTGGTTTCCGAGACGTGGGAAGGGCAGCCAGTCGGACACCAGTACCAGCTTGTCGGTATTCTCAGCCACCTTGGTTCCAGCGCAACCTCTGGTAAGATACAGAAATACATACGCGGAGCTCAGAAAGGAGCTCAGTAAGATCTTCTTACCCAAGAAGTCACTGAGTGAGTACTATAATACCACCCACTGCCTTTACTGTTATATTCATTTATGTAACAAAATTCTCAGGTAGTGGAAAGGCTCATATTTGAGTAGCTGTAAAGAAGCTAAATAGTGCTGTGACTTCGTTGGCATATTTTAAACCGTATAATCAGAGGACGGCCTACCTGTCTGTCTCGTAGGTCACTATGTCAGCGACACCTTCAGCGTGGAAGAGAAGGGCTGGCTCTCTTTCAGCGACCACATAGTGACCAGGTCAGATGAGGAGCAGGTGCTGAGGAAGAGGGAGAACAGCGCTACATGCTGTTCTACACACAGCAGGTAAGCAGAGAAACACCGAATACACTCTGTTATACTACATCCAGCAACTAAATACAGTGGACACATATTCCCCACCCAAGACGCAGTTACACATCTCACTGCAATATGTCAGACCTTCAGAAATATAAAACTGAATCTTTGCTATTTTATGCTGCACCAATGAAAGCCTGCCACTTGTACTACTTGATGCATATGTAATGTGGTACATGTGCTATTTTGTAGGAGTCCTTACACTGAAGACCGCTGATGCCTCCATACTGGGGACCATAACTTAAAAAGTAGGTAAAAGCTGTGGTTTCTGGTTTTGTTGAGCCAAAAGAGGAAGGAAATGGTACCAGTGAGTGTCTGATTACAGGTATGGAAGTAGAGGAGAATATGGAAGAGGACCAGAAGGACATGTAAGAGGATCAGAAGCACACATTTACATGACCCTGCGTTGGATATCACCATCGCCATTTTCATCAGGACAATCTATAGCAGCAGTCCCCCCTATTTAGATAACTTAAAATGATCATTTTCTTTTATTTACAATATATTGCCAAAAATTTTGGGACACCTACCTTAACCCACACCCAATTGCTTCCACTTTGTTATAATACCACTAACAATTGACCGTGGAATATTTAGTAGTGAGGAATGGACTTATTGTACAGGTGGCATCCCATCATGACACCACTCTTGAATTCGCTGAGCTCCTGAGAGTGACCCTTTCTTTCGTAAATGTTTGTAGAACAAACATTTACCTGTGAACAGGTGTGGCTCATTAGGAGCCAGGTAGGGTAGAAAACCTACTGGACGGTAGCTGTCCAGGAGCAGAGTTGGAGACCCCTGTTGTAGAAGCAGTCTGCATGCCTAGATGCTTGATTTAACCCTCTGGGGTCGAGTGCATCGTCGGCTACGCAGTGTACTTTTCGCGTCTATTTCATTTTATATCTCGCTGAAATCTTAATGTAGAATCATGAAAAAAACGCTGGATAAATACATAATCTGTCTTCTTTTCAAAACGTCCATTGTCGGAAGTATTAAAGTTTTTAAAATTAGGTTAAATCAGCAAAAAAGTAAACCATGTCACCTTACTTTGTTTTACCTGCATCGGGGGCGTGTAGTACCGCTCTCACCCAAAGATTGCTATTCACATTATAAATAGCCGCATTAGCACGTATTGAAATCGCATTCGCATGGTAATTTGCACCTTTTCTAAGGCAGCAATGTCTTTTTTAAGGTATGGTGACCAAACCTGCACACAATATTCTAGGTGGGGTCTTACCAAGGAATTATATAA